TACAAATTAGTATCACACTTCGTGACCAAATATGTCACGAAACTAACATTACCGATATCTTAATGGAAAATGCGTGAAATATAACTTTTAATAATGCAGATAAACTTCAAAACATTGATCACGAAACACGATGAATATTTCTAATAAAACACTACAAATATACATACGTATATATGAATATTTGATAAATTATTAAAATGAACCAAGGTTATACTTACTTCAATAGTTTATTACTCACGTATTATACTTACATTACTGATAATAATAGTTAAGAATGTGCAAATATATGACATGACGAATTCTTTTCATGTTGAGTTAGGTTGGCTCGAAAAATATTATTGAGTCAGAATCATGAAAATTTCTGGCCACATGTTTGTATGCACTTTTGAGAAGAATTTCCTGATGGGCAATTTATCTCTTAAAATAAAAAATTGTATCTAAAATTAAATCCAACAAAAATTCGTATTTGTACATGAAAAATGTTTATAAATTAGATAGTTATGTAATTTCAACATCCAGTACAATTGCACTATTTCTATCATCTTATGAGAAAATAATCGGCACGAATATAGGAAACAATGAAATTGTAGTAAGGTTTTAGGAAAATGACAATCATATGATTACGATATGCAATAGAATTTTATTCGTTCATTTGGTTAAATAGATAATATTGAATATTAACAATTTTCCAAAATTCATTTGATTTAATAGACATRGCAATTTATATTATCGTGAATCAGTATAATTCTTATACTCCATGTAGAACATCTTCCTTTTTATTTTGAGAAATACCAGTAAGTTAACCCAACATTTCTTTTACTTTCTCAAACATCTTCTTCCACTGAAGAAAAAAAAACAATTTAATTAAAAAATATTCTTGTAAATAAGCATTATGCAATCTATAACATAAGATATACATATGCATAAAAAAAAATCCAATTGGGTTAATGTAATTGTTAATCAATACTTACATTTATTGCTTCTGGATTGGCTTCAGCAAGTGGGTCAGCAAGTGGGTCAGCAAGTGGACTTGCAAGTGGACTGGCCTCAGGAGCGGCATTTGCTCCGATGATTCCAAAAACTGCTATGAAAGCAGCGAGCAAAATTAAAAGCATGCTTCTCATGATGA